ACAAAATTAACATTGAACCTTAAAAATATTGGTTTCCAGTAGGGATGGCGTGGGACCCCTCCAAATGAGAGGGGCTAAAGGATATGGAAAGTCCTCACCAAAGTAAATTAGACGTTGGCGTTTGGAATTTAAATCGATAGCGAATAGGCTTTTGCGAACTAAACATTTATTACTTAAGAAGAAAATAAATAATTAAATTAAAATATCATATAAAATTAATTTTATAGAGCCACTACTTTAAGAATTTAATAAAAAAAGTGAATGGAAGAAGATAAATCAGATAAAGGTGAGAGTTTTTTCCTCTTTAGTAAGGATTTTTTTTCTCTTATATTCTAAAAGTATAGTTTAAGAGTAAAAATTGCGTTTTAAAAACAAAAATTAATTGATCTTTAATTTATCAATCATATAATTAGATCTATTGATGTAATAATGATACTAATTAAACTCAATATCAATGTTTATATTCTTCTATACAAATTATAATAAAAAAATATACTTAATCTATTAAAAAAAAAAAACAACAACAACCACATAGATACAACTTTTTAAAAATCTAATTGCGCCAAATCGAAGTTGTAATTAATGAATCAAGCAAACCACTGCCTACGAAGAGGATGAAAATGATGATGATGGATGCCTGCACGATAAATTAATTAAATTATTTAATGATTTAGCCAAAAATCTGTTTTATTTGTCCATTAATACATTGACTAGTTCAGAAAATTGAAAGTAAACGTGGAATGACTAGTAATCAATCCCTATCCATCAGCAAATGTTACTTTCCCTCAACAGCAGAATGTGGACTAGTTCTTAAAAAAAATAAAATGAAATGAAATGAAAAGCATAGCTATTGCAGGCTTGAAGCTTCTTTTTTTTTAAGAAAATGATTATTACTTTTAGTTTGGTGCATCCACTAACACTCACTTGTTTAATTATAAATTTTTTTTATCTTAAAATTAAATTTAAAAATAATAATTTTTTAATAAATATACCACAAAATGTATTGAATCAAATGATGCATCAATTACTATTTTTTTTAAAACCATGGGTATAGCCTTCCATTAATAAATGAGGTAAAGAGATTATAAGACAATTTTTTTCTCTTACAAAATTTCTCTAATTTTCTCTTTTCCCCGTCTCAATCGCATGCTACTATTTTGCTTAGTCATGTCCAAACTCTAGAAAATCACGCTTGCTAACGAAGTATATTCTACCTAACCATAGAAAATATACATATAGTAAATTCTTCATAGACATTTGCTCTGATATGACAGCATATACTGATTGACCAAGCCTGGCCGGTTGATGTTCAGGCGATAACCTGGGCAGATACTATGTTCTTTGATATTCTCTTAATTAAGTCTTTAAATTTTCTCAAGTCACCCCTGCATATTATACTGAGTCTCCACAGCTTTCCAACTACTTCCTGTTCTTCAATTGTGGCAGTCATGGCAGCTTGTGTCAGCAATCTGTCTCTCTTCATTCTTTCTCTTTTTTATTGTCTATTTTGTTCCGGTTCAAAGTGGCGGTGGCTTCTAAATTTTGGTGGTTGAAGATTGTGTTTGTATGTTGTTTTGCCCTTTTGCTTTGATTATAATATGGGTAAAATCCTACATTAAGCTCTTGAACTTATTCTAGACTCTCAATAAACCCCCTAAACTTTTATTAAAGCAAGTAAGCTTATGAACTCGATGATTTGGGCAGTTTAACCCTCTTTCTTATTGTAGACTTAATGCTCGTTTGTCCCTTTCTTGCATGGATAAGATTAATACCTACCATATAGGCAATGATATATTAATACCTTGTTCACACAAGCGATGCACAAATTGACGTTAAGTTTGTTGTAAAAAAAATGTTAAATTGCTTAAATTACTAAGTTCAAGGGCTTATTTATGTCAACAAAAGTTTAACAGCTTAATCGAGACTATAGGGTAATTTTAGGGGCTAATTAACATGGGGCATAACCTGATGAAGTAGCTATTGTTTTTAATGTGAAATGATTGAACATTTTAGTTAATGATTGTTCTATGTTATCTAACTTTTAGTTATTGATTTTAAAATTTGACAACTTATTTATAATGTTTAATGTGAGAA